CTTAATGATTGTGACATATCATTACCAAAGAACATGGAATTGATCAGCAATAAAATGTAGACATAAAAATTGCTTATGCTACAGCAGTTAAATAAATGAAAATGAGGATAATAAAATGAAAGTCTGTTGTAGATACAGACACTAAACTTATGGGTCGCAACAAATGAAAAGACGCAATACACACTTGATGATGTGTACTTAGAATTGAAATTGCTTGCAAACTAGAAGTTTGGCAAGTGATATACCGGCTAGATTTTAGCGGGTGATTGTACAAAAGATTATCGAGCAACCTCTTTGTTGCACAAGTTTTTCCCAAAGTCCGGTTTATCTTGTAGGGATGAAAAGGAAAATCTTCCGTTATTTGCGAATCTGGTAGCAAATGAAGATAAGAAATGCGTCTCTTGAATATAGTGATCGCTTAATACGTGATACTTGATATTTAATAATTACGTCTATATGAAATCCCCGAAGGATTAAAAAAGGGGACATGATTCCCAATTCTCGAGAAATTAGTTCAAAAGACTGGCGCAAGTTATAGTGTTTTCATGTCTCTAGATATTTAGGTTCATATTTTTGAGTATAGTAGATACGTTATGTTTGTTTTTATCTGGATATGTTATGTTTGTTTGTAACATGATTTTCTATTTGTTTTTATGATCATATTTAAATGATAGGATGATAACTAATACTAGAGTGAGTATTCATAAACCTTATGTGCATTTATAATTTCGTTAGCACTGAACTCTCATAGAGTTTCAAAAGGCTGAATATTATCGAAACTTATCACGAAGTTCGAATAGGCTAAATATAAATAAAACTCCTGAAGAGTTATATCATAGTTATGAATACTTCTAACGAAGTTCAAAAAGGTTGCTACTTGCCTGAAGTAATGATAGAAAAACCCTTTGGGATAAAACCCCGGTGAAAGAAAAAGAGTACACTTCCGAATGTGATGCTGCCTCGTTAAAAACCTTGTCCGGAAAACCTATTGGGACAAAGCCTCGATCAAGGGAAAAAGAGTACAGCGTGGGTTACTCCCTCTGTTAAGTACGCCACTTGTAATCTTCTCGTTGCATGCCAACCTGTATAATCTTGGGTGTTTTATAATAATAGAGATGCATGACCATCATACATTGAAGGTATCAATATACAACATCCAAGTCTTGACTAATTAATTAGATAAACCGAAACTTTATATGGTACTTCAGGACCAAATTAGTCTACAACATTAATAGAAAGTCAAGAAGAAGGATCTATATGGACATCAAGATTTTAATCAAGTGCGTTCAATGGGGGTTGAATATACAAAGGTCAAACTATTTAGACCGGGATTCTAAGGGGGAGTGTTATGAAATATTTGATTTGATTTGATTGAAGGTCCAAAATTAATATGTATTATTCTATTCACAATCAAGAAGATATGATTCTGTAATATTTACCATTTATGATAGGTGATTCATTTCCCACAGTTTGATCCTCTACTTCTTGTATAAATTAGGAGCTCATTCATACTTCAAATATATCTGAATTCAAGTCTCTTATCTCTCCCTACTCTTTTATGTCTCTCTTATTCTTATGCTTAGTTTCATATTAGTAGTCTAGCATTAATTTTATAACAAAAATGACTTTGTCAAAATTTATCTCACAAGACTACGTCAGAGTTTAATCTCAAGCAAAATTTGCTTTTTACTAAAAAAAGTTAATGAACACAGTTAATAGTTTTAGTAAGATTCATTCACTTAAAAAATCTTTTGAAATAACGTTGATTTATTGCACAAGTACTCCTCCGAAAATCTTTTTAAATAACGTTGATTTATTCCACAAGTACTCCTCCGATTTGATTATTAAGTATTACTAAATAGTATTCTTGATCAAATTAATGTTTGCGTGCATTAAGGTTCATTATTTGTCTTGAAGACCCAAATATAGGCCCACATATGGTTCCACCTCAAAACCAATTGGTAATGAGGGGAGTAGCACATGGGGTATATATGTTGGGTTGAAGTGTTTTCTTCCATCCATGCGGGACAAGAGAATATGAGGCTATTTTTCTTTCTTTCATTTATTTAACACGCCCCTCTCAAGCCCAATGAGCTTGAACAGGTAATTTTATATATTTTTTTTCTGATTTTTTTCAGTCTTACGATCGGTTATTTTTTCGGATAAACCATCGCCTGCCGGGCTAGTTAAAGTTCAAAGTCAAACTTCGGATTTCTTCTGTGGGTTGACCAAAGTTTCAAGACGTAATTTGGGTCAGTCCACCTCGCCCCATAAGTCTCACAGGTCCACGGATTAAAACCCGTTCTGATACCATCTTGAAGGCCCAAATATAGGCCCACATGTGGTTCCACCTCAAAACCAATTGGTAATGAGGGGAGTAACACATGAGGTATATATGTTGGGTTCAAATATTTTCTTCCATCCATGTGGGACAAGGGAACATGAGGCTATTTTTCTTTCTTTCATTCATTTAACAATTTGCTCTGATCATTCTCGTAGTTTCCTAACTAATGCAGTATTTCCATGCATTTTTACTCTATTTCGTTATTGAATGTCTTATAGTAGATTAACATTATGGATTTCAACATAGACGGAAAACTTTTTCGACCAAAGAGGAACACAATGATTGGTCTTGAGAGTGCTTGACCAATAATCTTTGAGTAAAAATCATGCGTGCTTAGCTAGCTTTTAAATATATATATATATATATATATATATATATATATATATATACATACTAGATGAGGTGGACCGCACGAGGTGCGGTCTTTCGGGGAGTAGTGACCCGGAGGTGTTGTTTCAAGGGAGGAGTGACACTGTGAAGTGTGAAGTAATTGACTATCTTTGAAAATATTATTTTTGAGTAGACTCGAGTCGAATGTAAAAACTCGGTGTTTTTAGCTCATGAAACTCTAATATTAAGTTATTAACTATACTTTCAAGTTCACCCTTACCACCATTCAGCTTTTCCAAATCGACTGACTATTTGCTTCCAGACACTTTTAGACTGGACGAGCCGTCGAGGTGTCTAAGTGCAAATTTCAAGTATTCCGAAGTTCTTAGATATTTGCTATGCTTCAAATTTATCCTAAATCATAATTGTACCCTAATCTTTTCAGTATGAAAATTTCATACCGAGAAATTGTTATGGAGAGAAGTTACAATTAAATATTTTTTGTTCTTTTTTTCCGACAAAAAGAAATTTTGAAATATTTAAGCATTTTTCTCATGGCATTTTGTCTAGGCAACATAATCATATAACATTTTGTGTTGGCACTTAGTTAGAATATGCTCATGTAAGTCAAATGCAACCTGAGCTGTTTCCTCTTATCTATAAAACCATTACCAAGGACCTACTTGCAGCTTCCAGACGCTTTGCAGCTTCCTGCAATCAGATCATCATCAGAAGTTAGAACTAAACAAGGACCTACTTGCAGCTCATAATGTGTAGCATGCTGAAAAATTGTAAGTATTCATATTGTTTAAAAGAAGTTTCCAAAAACATCTTTCAGCAGAATGACAGTGTAACTTGGCACCTACATTGTGCCTTTTAAGCAGACAAATGGAAAATGAAGATCAAATAATCCCAATGTAATCTAACGTATATATTTACACCAAAGCTGTAGATATTGTGTAATCTAGACAACCTTTTTCATTATGGTCTCCTTTTTCCAAGTTTCAACACCTCTGAGAAATGCCTTAGTTGATGTGCCTGAAAATGCAACATAGATTCAGTTGAATGAAGCACAATACATGGCAATTTGGGAAACAAAAGCCTTGAGATGTACCCAGGAAGAGGATGATTAGAAGGACTGTAACCATCCAGTCAGCAAAAACAACATTAAAAGCAACTCCGATGCTTATGCCCATCATGAGCATTGGTTGAATAAGAACTGCTAAATCATAACCGATAATGGGCATATCAAGTGTTGGATGTCTTAACTTCAGGTTATAATAAACAGTCGAAACTGAAGCTCCCATTATCATACCTGAAGGTGCAAATGACACAAATTTTAAGAACAAAAGATATCATAACTTTCAACTGGGTTCATACATGAAATGACACGCTCTTGAATGGTGGTAATATAAGGTCTGTTATGTCTTTCCAACTTCTACTAAGATAAAGTTATATGGCGATGTTCTGAAATGAATTGTGTTTCATATGATTCAAACTTGAAGTCAATATTAACTAAATTTCCCATTTTCCTTACATTTTGAAATAGCTGTTGATGATTTTGGATCAAATCCTATAATCAACGAAAGCATAGGAACAAATATGCCGCCACCACCAACACCACCTACGTTGCCAAATGCAGCTCCAAAGAATCCAATGATGCTACCAACAATAAGTTGCCATCCAAATTTCATGTCCTGAAATGACATCAATACTCAGTGAACATTATCATTATGGGATACCATCTGACAATCAAAAAAATACAATACAAAGGATGGGCAGTTGCAGAAATCCCTGATCTTCCCTCTTATCAACAAGCATACAAGAAAACATTTTAAGCAAATACATATAATCCTTTTTGAGTGCATACAAGTGTATATGGATTACGTGAATCTTGTGAACCTTGATTTGATCTAGCCATGTCCAGGCTAGTAAGAACAACACTTCACCATTAGAACAGAGACTGAACACTAAATTACAGAACAAATCTTATTTGATCTCCAACAAACACATGTTAACACAAAATTCAACACCCAAGACTCAATCATCACCCCAAAAAACAAAGGGTAAAGGAAACACTGAACTCAGAACTTTTCATACTTACAGGCCAAACATGCTTGTACCCAGATTCATCCACCTTCCACAAAAAGTTCAACAACATAGAAAATTTGCTTAAATCCGTATGCCCTGTGGCGTTATAGGCTGAAGCTGGAATTTCGTCTCTCAAGCTTCTTTCAGCTGAAACAAAGATCGCGGCTAACAGAAAACTCCATACAACAGTCAAAACAGGCCTTAAAACAACACCCCATTTCCCTCCAATTCTCGCCATTTCTCTTCTCTGCTATTTCCTCTGCATACACAAGCTGCTGGCTTTCTCCTTTATGTCTCTGAAATCTGCACCTTACATTTGTCTGACATTGATTTCATTGATCCTTGAACCATTGGCAGCAGCCATGCCGAATCCTCACACTCTTCTCCTACCTTTCCGACTCGTTTGGCTTGATTGATTAGATCCCCCCATACACAAATAGCACTCTTTCTGGGAAGCCTCACTGGTTTTCACTCCCCTGATATCCCATTAATCTTCATTTCCTTCCATTAATCAATCAAAATCAAAATATGCAAGCCAGCATTTTTACAACTTATATAGCTTGAATAAAGTGATCTTTTCCCCTCTATTTTATTTTTACCGAACAAAAATTCATTTACAAAAAAATATAAAGAAGACTTACGTCGATAAAGTCGTTGAGCAAGCAAGAAGGCAACGCTTTGGGCGGCTTTACAAAAGCATACCACAACAACTCCATCATCGTCTCCGCCGTCTCTGACAGGATGGTGGCGGCTACATCCACGTCATTCACCGGAAACAGCCCATTTTTAATGTCCTTCTCCTCCAAACAAACCCCGGCGCAGCAAATCACCACCCTTTCCACGCATTCCTTGAATTGCGCCGGCATACTGTACGCCACAAATCCGCCGTAACTTATCCCGACAAGGCTCATTTTCCAAACCGAATTCGCCTCCATGACCCGCTTCACGCACTGGGCCTGGAACGATTCGGACCTTTCGGGTCTGGTCGTGTACGATTCGCCGAAGAAAACCAGGTCCGGCACATAGATGTTGTAACGGAGCACCAGGATTTTGACCGTCTCCGACCACTGCCAAACGGAGTCGACTCCGAATCCATGGATGAGAAGGCGTTTCGGTAACAACCTTAAAGAGAGGAGAAGGAAGTATACGACGGCCGATTGGCAACCGGATGGAAAGCACAGAACTTAAAAGGAAGGAACACGACAAAAATTGCAAAAGAGCCAAAATGGTCGGCACCTCAGCGAAAAGAACAAGCAACGGGCAGTTAACCGTGCCAAAAAGGGACATCCCCTCCTTATATTATGTAGATATATATATATATATATATATATATATATATATATATATATATATTTGCATTTTTTTTCCTGTGCATTGCAGATATAACCATTGGAAGATTACTCAGAATTAAGAGTAATCTTGGATACATGTTCCTCATGCGAGTACGTGCATCAGAAATGAGAAGAGAACTGTGGTTTTCAACGTTTTCTCCGAGAAAACTGATAAATATAAAAGTTATTTTGTTATAAAAAGAATAAAATTTTTCAATTACCTATAATATTCTTACATAAAATTTTAACACATCCAATGTAATCAATTTTCCTTTTCTTCCTCCCTTCTTTAATGATTCATATAAAAGTTCAGAATGGATACTGCAAATCAAAAAAAAGAAAAAAAAAAAGAAAAGAAGAAGAAGAAGCTTGCGGTCCTTTTTTTTTTTTTTCTTTCTCCTTTCTGTGATTTTGAAATACACCCACATAAATATAAAAATAAAAAATACTGAAACATCATATTTGAAATACAACCATAAAATATCACCAACATAAAATAATTCACCTGCCAATTTTTAAGCAAATAATCAATATTATACTCCTTAGAGGTTTCTGACCAGGAACAATCAAATAATCAACAAACTAATCAATTCCATCAAACATAGCAACTCAATACTTGATCAACACTAAAACAACGCAGAATAGGACTTTCTGGCCAAACAAAGCTAAAAAAACTCACCCACACGCAGAATAGAAGTCAATTTATTAAATAAATGCATCAATGGAAGTCAAAGCAAATTGGGTGCATGAATTCAGAATCCAAAACACTTTTGAATCTGAAAAACAAAAGAGAGAGAAATTGCCAAGAAAAAACTGACCTCACCACACTATCAATTGACGTTTGCAACAAGATGAGACTGGAAACCAGAATTACCAATATATATATAGAGATTAAAAAATTAGATATTGTAAGATTTGAACTAAAAAGTTGATTGAAGCGTCAATGGATTAATAATGTTGCAAAAGCAGGCCGGAAGAAAACAACCGAGAAATATATCTAAACCATAAAAAAAGAGAATATAAAGGGAATTAATTACGGTGGATGTATTGAGGTTTTCATAAAGGTATTATTGGTAATTAAAATTTTTCGTACTCTTTATATAACAAAATAGTTATATATTGCGATTGAGGTGTTGGTTCAATGGTAAAACCATCTTGCTCTCAAGAGGAGGGAGCTTTTGAGAAAAACAATGATTCAGAAATAAGAGTAAAGAGAAAAATAGGTCGTCTGCGAGAGTAAAGAGAAATACCTATCTCAGATATACAAAATTGGACCTTCTCCTTAAATTGGATTTCACAAATCCGAGTTTATGTTGATACCAAAAATTAATTTACTTAATGAGGATTAAAGAAAAATCAGATTTCTCAAATTCGACTTTCACAAATAAAAAAATAATATATGGAAAAACAATTATCCTTTTTCCCGAAAATAAACTTTTGACCAAAGTCAGATTTCAAAAATCTGAGTTTCACCATTAAATAATATTTTAGGGAGAAAAAACTTAATTTCTTTTGGCAAAATTTTTATGCCTAAAGGTCGGATTTGTTGACCAAGATTTTTTTTTTTTAAAGAGATAAACTAATTTCCAAACTAGTTCAAATCTATCACAAGAGTAGTAAAAATAATTTTTCATCCATATAGAAACATAAATATGAAACACAATAATTAGTTAAGTTTTGACTAAGCTCGAATTTGCTAAATCCAAGATTAAACAGAATAATTTTTTTCTAAAAAAAGATGTACTGATTTTTAAAAGAAAAACTGATACTGATATCCAAAATTCATAATTCTTGCAGTGCCCACATCCACACAAGGAACACTAGGAGCCCAAGGATGGAAGACAAAAATTTGGATTTCCAAACTCCAACATAATAAACTAAAATCAGATTTTGAGAATCCGACTTTCAACCTAACTCCGATATTGAAAATCCAAAATTTCTTAAACAATTTTAGGTTTTAGGGTTTAATTCGTATTATCGAAATCTGAGTTATCTGTAAAATCGGTTTTTAAAATTCTGATTTTTTGAACTCACTTGAATATTGAAAATACAAAATTTTTTAGTCAAGGTTTGCATTCAGGGTTAAGGGTTTAACTTAACCACAAAGAACAACAACAACAACCCAGTATATTCCCAACTCGATTGGGATATGGGGAGTCAAGATGTACGCAGCCTTACCCCTGTATATCAATACGGAGAGACTGTTTAAGTAATACGACCCAAGATGCATTGGTGCATTGATGTATTGATTTCCGAAAATTTTACCAAATCAAGAAGCGACGGAATTTAGATAAACTATTTTGATCTAATCCATTATTAGCACAAAACTGAAAGAATTGTCAATGATGACTCTTCCAGCTCAATTTGCAATGGATTGTTTAGGTTTAATTCGGATTTGCGAAATCTAACTTAGCCCAAAAATCGGATTTCCAAAATCCGAATTTACTTTTATCTCGAATTTTGAAAATCTGTTTTTTTCGGATTTGTCAAATCCGGTTTAACTCTAAATTTGGATTTGTAGAATACGATTTTTGTTTTTAAATTTGCTTTAACTGAAAATTCATATTTTAAATATGATATTGTGTTAATATAATCCGCAAAACTAGATGTATCAATGGTAATGTTGTGTGGTACTGTATAACATTAGTACGTAGAGTTAACAACACCTTCTAACACTAGCATATGATATGTGATAACAGTAAAATATGACCCCTTTTAGCAAGCAATTCTTATTCTTTTTTACAAATAAATTAGTGTTAATTAAATAGAATTAGTTTACTTTTGGGTTGATTTTACATTTCAGGGTGATCAGAGGGTCAAAGTGGAATTTCCTACATTTACGGGGCCAAAAGGTGAAAAAGAGCATAAAAAGGGACTGAATTGGAGCTGCTGGAAATTAAGGCTGGAAATGATCAGTTGGAGCTGAATGAGAGGCTGGATCCTTGGCGATGAAGTAAGAATGGCTGGAGTATCACCACAAGTTGATGATCCTTGCAAGAGGAAGCCAAAGGAAGAAGAAGAAACTGCAGCCATTCTGCTGCTATTGCTACTGCTACTTCTGTCAATCAGCGAAGAAAAGAGGAGCTAAAATCTTGCTGCTGAAGGAAAGGATTGTTGCCGCCATTGCATGTTGCTGTTGCTGCAAGTGGAAGAAGAGAAAGAGGGAGAATATGAAGAAGGACGTTGCAGCTGCTCTGCTGACTGCCACTGTTGTTGGCCTTGATTGAATTAAAAAAAAGAAAAATGACTGCTGCTGGAGGCAAGAATTGGTGTTGCAGATGATCCTAGGAAACAAGAAAAAGAAAAACAGATAATTGGAGACTAAATTGGGAGCTGAGACAGGGGACAGAAGGAGGGAACATGATGATTGAACAGAAGCATGTTGTTGATGCAGCTGCTTAATGCCCCTGCTCCTGTTAGTTGCTGGATTAAATAATAAAAAAAGAGCAAGATTTTGGAAGATTGTTGTCAGTCGGGCAAGTGACAAATTCACTTATCCAAGTGGCGACTGTTGCTGCTGTTGCTGATGGCACGCGACCCAAAAATGACCTGCACAAATGGGAGGCTCAAGAATCAAATTTTGGAAACTTTATGGAAGGTTGGAGGCTATGGAAGGAGGCTGATTTGAAGTTGCTAAAGAGGGAAAAAAAGAAGATGGAGGCAAGTTGCTCAACTTGCTCAAGTTGTCAACTTGCCCACTTGCTCAAACCAACTTGACAATTTGATTTCATGGAAATTAAAATACTAAAAAGTGGTCTTTCCCAAACTCTATATAAGAAGAAGACCAGCAACGGAACCAAGTATCTAAAAATCAATTAGAATAGGATAGTAAGGAAGAGAGTTAGATATAAACACAAAGGAGTGAATAAAAGCAACTAGGAGTGGCTGGTTCTGCCTGCCACTCGGGGAAGTGAGAAGAATCACTCGAGGAAGCGACCTGGTGACAGTAGCAATTCCATAAGTTCTTTTCTCTTAGTTGTTTCCTTACTTTGTATTGACGTTTAATGCTTAGAAATTCATCCTTGTGTATTTGTATCTATAGTTATGAGTAGCTAAACTCTCTCTAGTGTCTAATCCCTCTTATCTATACAAGTATGTTTTGGTAATGCTCATATATGATTTATTATTTCTAGTTTAAGTGATTGAATCAACCTTTTAGTTAGCCGTGAAAACTAACTAACTGTGCATGCATACAATAGAATCCAGGCCTGGTGAACATAGTTTAGAACTGCTTAAACAAGTTCATGATAACTGGTTCTAAATAACAAGGTTACTTAGTTGTTTGACATGGATAATCACATAAAGCTTAGGTACTTTATGCCTTAGTATAATTTCAAATCAAAATCGAAAGATAGTTAGTTTGTAATGCTAATACAATTTCTTGAACAATGACATGGACCTTAAGATACACAAGTGCCTGATCAAGCATAGATCATACATCAAAAGGAGCAAAAAAAACATAAGACAACTGTATAGAGAAGAGTGGAGGATGACCCTAGGTTCTTTTTCTGTTTAACTTTCTATCTGTCCACTCGGTCAAGTGACTTTCTCACTTGCCAGAGTGATAGTTGTAGATTATTTTCATGTTGATATTTCTGCCATTTTTTCATTGAGTCATTTGGGGTTAATTAGAGTTTCTCCTGTCCTTGTGGATCGACCCGACTTACTGCTACTACAGTATAAAGTTAGTTAAATTATTTTGGTGGATTCGACACCCAGCAATATGTAATGAGTAACAGACAAATTGTAATATATAACAATATTTATGATAATAATGTGTAATAGTATTAATAATCATAAGTAACAGTAGTACATGTGATATCTAATATATAAAAGTATTAATAGTATTATGCCATACTAGTTCAAATGATATCTAATGAGTAACAATATTAATAGTAATATGTATCAATAGTAACAGTAATATGTAATAGGTAACAGTATTAATGGTAGTAATGTGTAACAATGTTAATGATAATACATCGTACTAGTACATGTGATACCCGATGTGTAACAATGTTAAACAATGTTATAATAATAAGTAATACTAGTATATGTGATAATTAAGTTATAATAGTATTAATGATACTACGTAATACTAATCAAGATAATATCTAATGACTAGCAGATTTAACAATAATAAGTAACACTAGTACCAGTAATATATAGTGGATACTAGTATTAATGTACTACATAACACTAGTACGTATAAATAGTACATAATACTAGTACAGATTAATTATAAAGAATTAATTTAATACAAATTCCTAACAGTTTTAATAACACTACGTAACACGAGTAATATATTTTTTTCATCAATTGAATGCAATTTTCTAGTAATTATTAGTAACATAAGATTTTATTAATATCATATCTAATACAATATTTTTTATTTTTTTTATAAAGTGGATAGGTCAATTTAATGCAAATTCCTATCAAAACTCGGTCAAATTTTCAAAGTTTGCTGCACTTAAAGTTTTTTTTTTTTTTTTGATAAAAAGTAGTTCGGATTTTTGAAATCTAATTTTACTGTTCATTTATTAAATTTTCAAACTTTCTCATCAAAAATAAATTTTCAAATTTCCCGCTCTTCAGTTTTGGTTTATCTTTTATTTAATAAATATAAGGTCGAATTTGGTAAATTTGAAATTTTACTATTCATTATTTGACGTTTTCCCTATTTTTTTCACATGAATTTTCAGGAAATAAAGTTTTATATAATTTTATTAGGTCGTATTTACAAAATCTGATTTACTAATTTGATTAGTAGTTCAGATTTTAAAAATCCAACCTCAGTATTTTTTTCTTCTCCAAAAGTCGACCTATATTTCTCTCTACTCCTATTTCTATGCATTTTTTTTTAACCAAAGCACCCAGAGAGGAGGTCATGAGTTCAAAAATTTTATTCCAACAAGAGTGATGGGTGACTCTAACCTTACCTATTGGCAGCTCTAGAGGGCTTGTGATGAGAAGCGAATATACTCACCGTCTCATATGATTTCACGGCGGTTGTACTTATTATGAACTCATTTCTTGTGGTTTACTTGTCTTAAAAGTGCACATTTATCAAATTTTGCATTTGATTAATGTAAGTTGAGTAGATGGCATAAAAAGACTAGGAAATGGAGCAAAAGGCAACAAAATGTCAACAAGTGTTGGTCTAGTTGAGCAAGTCTGATTTGACAACTCGTAACTTGAGCTAGGATTCTCCATTTGGAATGATCAATACAGGCTTGCGAAGGCCAAATAGAGAGCTACAACAGCCATTAATAACACTTCTCCAAATTCAGATGACAAAGGGGCCAAAATTGCAGTTGGATTTCGGTTATCAGAACTGAATCCAGAATGTGCAGAGTTTCAGCATGAAGCAGTCATTTTCCGGATGCCTTAACTTGTAATCCGTAGCTCTGATTTAAGTGTCCAAGATACCATTGCAAAGATGAAATAAGGGGCTACAACTGTCATGAGATTAGTTCTCCAAATTCAGTTCAGAAAATGACCAAAACGGCATCTGAAGTTCAGTTATCAGAACAGTCATCAAGGCTGCAGAAACATCTGCAACCTACGGCCAATTTCCAGAGGCCATAACTTGATGTCCAAAACTCGGATTTGGGCGTTCTTTATAGCGTTTCGAAGCTCAAAGAGAAAGTCAAATCTTTCCTGAAGAATATTTCTCCAAATTCAGGCGTTTCAGTGGCCAAAAATGCAGTTGAAAATCTGTTGTCAAAACTGATAAATAAAATCTGCAGGCTTCAGCACCTATCTGTCAAGTTCCAGCGATCATAACTTCATGTTCGTAGCTCGGATGGAGATGTTCTTTATATGGTTGCGAAGCTGGGAAAACGAGCTACAATTTCTCTTCTGAAATCAGTCTCAAATTATAACTGAAAACAGGTGAAAAAGGACACTGAAGTCGGTCACTGAGGGCTGAAATTGTAGAATGTCCAGGAAATGTGCAAGAAATGAACAGCTATTGTAAGTCTTCAATTTGGACTGGAGATCGATCCAAAGGCCTTCAAGCTCAATGGAAAAAAGCGATAGGAACCACAAGGAAGGAAAGGACATCAAATCCAGCAGCTATATGGAGCAAATTTGGTGAGAAATCAGTGGCAGCCCAAACTTTTCCGGTGATAAAAGAAAGAAATTGCGGCTGCTGGAAATTGCACATATTCAGCAACAATCGAGCAAGATGAATCAAGGGTCTCGCGTAGGAGAAGGATCGGCTGGATCCCGTGAGGATTAGGCAGCTATATCTCGGGTTTTTAGTGCCGGGATCATGACGGCGGTGGCCGGGATCGGGGCGGCAGCCGGGCTGGAATTTCTGGACGGAGGAGAAGAAAACGTTTAGGAAATCGCACAAAGAGGGGCCATCTCCTAAAGTCCTTCCAACTAAAGGCTCCATCTCTTCAGCGTAATCCATTTATGCCCCAAACGTTGCGGATGTTGTGGAAAACAGCCCAAAGGTCCGGCGATTCTTAACTTTGAAGGACGACCAATTGCTCCTACTACTTTGCTGTACTTAAACTTTTGACCCAACGTACCCCTCCCCGATAAATACCATTTTGTACACGAATTTGGGAACTTTTATCTCATTTTCAGCATTTTAATATAAGTTTTAGCTTTGTTCTTCCTTTCTTAGTTTAGGGATTACATCTTTTCTTCATTTTTAGTTAATTTTTGCATATAATTAACTAAAGGGGAGAAAAAGAGAGAAAGGGGGAGGGGTTTGCTAGTTCATTGGAAGAGACTTTCCATGGAAATGAAGACAATGGGAAGGAGATAGAGAGGTCATTCAAGTCTTGAAGCCCTAATTCGTTTGTTTGGTTTGGTTTCTTTCTCCTTTATATGGCTAGTTAAATCCCTCTATGCAATTGTAATTGTGAACCCCTATGGATTGATAATTTATTTTAGTAGTTACTTCTATTATTGTATTAACTTTGGATTGTTTATTTGTTGTTGAACGCTTTGCTTGATTGTATTGGGAGGGAAGATTGATGAATGAATTTTACTTGTGATTCTTTGGGTGGAAATTAAATGGGCTTTTGAATTCTATTTGTGGTTTTGACCATGAATTAGAATGGTAATCGCTTGTGAGATTAGGAACCCATTGGAGGAGGGTTAATTCATGGAAGATCGTGTACCAGACAATATTTAAGGTAAGCAAGTACATTCACCATGATGATGGTAGCGGTAACTTGACTATTTAGTATTCAACGTGGAAACACGGGAGTAGTGAGTCCACATCGAATGAAAATAGGAATTGTTGAGCTACTTAGTGGGGGTTTACCCAGAATGAATAACTTAGGCTTGTTTAGTAAGTAACTCCTAATAGGCGGGAGCTAAATTTGTTTGGTTGAGCCAATTAGTCGAGTAGTGGCAACTTGCCTTAGACTCCTTTAAGGAGACTTTTCTAGTTAACTAAATAATTGAAATGGTTTGAATGATCAAAATTCATGGGATGATCAAAAGCAATTCATAGGATCCTCAAGTATCTCGATTTCTCCCCCTTACATGTTTCTTTATTTATGTTTTCTTAGTTCTAAATTAGTTTAATTAATTAGCATATTCTCATTTACCCTTTGCTTACTAGAGTGTCTTAATGGTTCAAATCACTACTATCCTCGTGGGATCGACCCTTATTTGCACGACAGAATGACGGGCCTTCACTTGGGCCTTGAGTGCGTGCGAACGAGGTTTATTTTATTTGTTTGTTTGCGCGTGTCTAAATTTCTATACGTTCAAATACGCACATAACAGCTTGTTATGGTAAACGCATTCATGAATTCTCGATTTTTCACCCGAGCTTACCTAGGATAGTTTACCTCCACTGTAATTTGCAGGCTATTACAGTAAGCGTGGGTTTACCCATCTCCAGGGGCAGAACCAGTAAAGGGCTTGGGCGATCTCAAGGCCCCTCCCCCTTCCCCCAGCCAAAGGAAACCATGGTCGCCTTTAGGCGGAGCCCTTGGTTCTTACGTTTTCTTCTCCCAGCCCCCCAAACATGAGAATTTGAGGGCTAAAGGATGTCCAAATCTCAGATTTTCTCTGGTATAGTTATTATTTTTATAGTTAATTGTAGTCATCGACGTTGGCAGCGGCGAGTTGCAGCGGCGATGCAAGGAAGAAGATGATGATTTTAATCTTTTAGAAATTTTAGGATAGGACAGCAAAATTAACAATATAGTAGATTATGTCCTTGTCACTTAAAATTTTATCATTTTGAATTTTTGATATAATTTTACCCCCTTAACTTTTTAAAATTTATAAAGTTGACCTTAGACTTAAATATTTTGTGCATTTAGGACCGAAAAATTCAACAAAATTATAAAATTTTTCTTATAATAATTAAAAAATAACTTTAAGAGATATTATAGCGTGTTTCAAATGAGTCTTAGGTGTTTCTTTAATAAATAACCTGGATTTTATACCAATATTTCAACAAATAATGTACAAATTATTTAATAAATTTTGATAAATTCAAAGTATTTTATTTATTCAATAAAGGATTTTTTTTTTTGTCTAGTCCAATAGACATCCAATCCCCCCAAATACTAAAAACTAGTTCCGCCATTGCCATATCTGGTGGGGTTCCCGGCGTTATAAAAAAAAAGAAAAAAGAAAAAATAGCTCTATATTCAATTGCCTTTCTCCAAGGATGTTAAGCGAAGCAAAACATAAGTTGGGATTTATTGTGCAAGAATTCTATTTTATTTTTATTATTCCCCTTTTTCTCTGTTGGTCTTTTTAGATTTATTTGGACTGCGTTATGATACTTCTGTGATTTTGCAGTTTATTAGTACTACTTCAAATTGTGTCAAAAAAATCATTAGAAGAAACTACATACGACATAGGCAGCCCGTGCGTGAGCGCGGGGCCGAAGAACCTAGTTACATAAGAAGAATCCCAACCGGCTTTTTCCAAAAGTATTGGACAATCATCAAGGGTAAACTTCTCACTCACGTTTTGGCAGCTCTGAGAAATCGACACTGGTGGAGTGAATGGAACAAGACCAACATAATTTTCATTCCAAAAAAAAGGCAATCCCGTCACATCAGCGGACTTCATACCAATAAGTTTGTGTAATGTTATTTAGAAAGTTGTTGCCAAGGTCTTAGCAAATCGGCTTAAGACGGTCATCAGTCCGATAATGTCGAAGAATCAAAATGGGTTTGTGCCAGGAAGATATATTGGTGAAAACATTCTTTTGGTGCACGAGCTTTTGGAGCATATTGGAAAGAAGAAGGATGGAGATCTAGGCTTGTTAGCAATCAAGTTAGACATGAATAAAGCATATGAACGGATTTCATGGTCATTTTTGCAGCAGATTCTAGAAAAGATGGGCTTTCCATAGAGTATGATTCTAACCATAATGAAGGGCGTTTCAACAGTCAGCTATGCCATTAATTTCAACGGTTGGAAGTCAGAGTTCTTTCACCCCAAAGCGTGGACTTCGACAAGGTTATCCTTCGTCTCCTTACCTCTTCATTTTATGTCAACATGCATTCTCCCTTGCAATCAATAGACTTGACAGAAACAATCAAAGTTTCGGCATTCAAATCTCCAGAGCTTCTCCAAGGGTTTCCCATTTAATGTATGCTGATGACTGTTTAATTTTTATGGAGATTCGGGAAAGAAATATCGTAGCGTTTGCTGAAGCATTAAATCAATATGCAAGACTGTCAGGAAAACGGGTTAATTTTGACAAATCGTCAATCATCACGAGCCCTAATGTTAGCAGGCAAAGAAAAGAGATGTTATCTCTTCGATTGCGAATTCCACAATCGGTGCACTAGAGCCAATATCTGGGACTGAGATTAGACTTCATGCAAAGCAAGACTCAAATCTTAGGGACTATAGTTGATAGCGTGAAGAGGAAATTGCATTCGTGGAAGAATGAATCATTGTCAATGCTTGGGCGTGTAACCTTGGCTAAACACTCTTTAAGCTCATTGCCGATTTATATGTTGGGTGTTTTCAAGATTCCAGTCTTGGTTACAAAACAGGTTGACTCTGTAATTGCAAATTTCATTTGGAAAGGCGACATAGAAGGAAGGGGAATTCACTGGAAAGCATGAAAGGACTTGTGTAAATCTAAATTCCAGGGTGAATTAGGTCTTCGGAAGTCTAGGGAGCTGAATAATCATCCAAGGCTGGTCCAAAGAAGGGATGAGCTAGTCTGGTCCAAAGAAGCAACAAGTATATACTCAGTCAAATTAGGCTATTATGAAGCTTTTAATGCAGCTGATCATTCCCGAAATCTCCCCTCTACATCAAATTCAATCTCGTTATCTGTAGAAGGATGGAAAAAGTGTTAGACTTTCAAGGTTCCGGGTAAAATACAATGGCTGATATGGAGAGCAACCAATGCTCTTCCTACGCTGTTGGCTCTAAATAAGAGAGGAATAGAGATATCGAAGACTTGCCCCAGATGTGGAGTGGTAGATGAGTCAATCCAACATGTATTTTTGGATTGTGAATCTTCAAAAAGGATCCGGCGGTCTTCTCCTTTGGGTTTTGACTTTGATAAAGGCGATAGAGTCAGCTTCATTGAATGGATTAATGACTGGATTTGCTCTGCACCGGAAGAGTCTCTTCAATGTCATTCAATTGTCATTTTTCTTGCTTTGGGCTATTTGGATGGATAGCCCCCAATTTGCGATAAATAATCGCATTGAATTCTGCCGGAGGAATTGGATGACCAGCCATGCTTATAATGAGTCCGCGAAAGCCTTAGCTTTATGAAGAAATGTAGGGACGCATATGTCGTCCTTGGTGAGATTATATAGTTCCAAAACAAGTTGGGTTTGCTGGGCATGGGAAAGCGACCCATAGCTTTGTTCCAAGGCAGCCCAAGCTTGAGCAGATGTCTTGATGCCTTGAAGACATGGATAGATGGAGTCAGCAATGGAAGAAAGAATCCAGGAAAAGAGGAGCTGATCCTTCTGTTGCCATTGAATAAAATTCGGCTGAGGCAATTGAGTGGTGGGATCAAGAATAGTCGCGGCCGGAGAGGGTTCCGTACCATCAATAATCGGCTCAAGATTGAGCATTTTGAGAAGAGGGGAGAATTGTAACTTCAACTGGCGAAATTTTCGCGGGAAGACAATTTGATCGCAAACGATTGATGAAGAGAAGAGACATTAGCCGAAAAAGAGAGCAGTGAGGGGACTGAAACAAAAGAGGCCGCGCCCGAAGATGAAGAAAAGAGAGAGGAGACAGAGATATCGGAGGAAACAACAGAACACATGATGAGCATGAGAATGAAAGGAACGGCACCAGATCGAGAGAAGAGAGGCTGATACCAAGTTGAAGTCTTGAATTGATCAGATTGAATTGATTCCTTCTCATTGGTACAACATCGCATATATAGGGAGATTACAACCGTTAATAAGCACAAGAGATATATTTGATAATTCTACATCATAATCTTAATACAAGACAATAACCCTCAATACATGATAACTATGATAGATAGAAACCGAAACATCGGGGAACACGAGAATCAATCTCCCATGATAGTACAAAGGTGTGCAGTGCAAGAACTTCAAGCTTTCAACCATGGTAACTTTTCTGATAACCAGCTGCATAATCATCCAAGGCTGAACCACAACACCAATCTAGCACAAGATCCAGTTGTGGAACATTACATCAAGATAGATGGTGCATTTAGAGAAACAGAGAAGACAGGAGCCGGAGCTTGGGAAATTGTTAATGCTCAAGGAAAACTTGTAGCCTCAGGTTGTGAAATTTTTTTGCCTCATCTCCCATACAAACAGAAGCTATGGCAGCTCTCTGCTGAGTCTTCAAGCAGCAAAGAATTTGGTTCTTCACATGTGTTCCCTACAAACAGATAATTTGCTTGTAGCTAGCTTGAAACATGAAGGGTGTGGGATTCCTTATGGCCTCTAGTCTTTAGTAGATAATATTAAAGTCTTAGCTAACAGTTTTAGGTGATGTGTGTTTATGAGAGTGGATAGTGTGTTAGTGGATAATGCTCATAGATTAGTTAGGGCATGTATCCAGTCTTTCACGGTTGTTAACTTTTGTAATTTCTGAATCTCTCAATATATAATATCATGTGGTTTATCCACAAAAAAAAAAAAAAAAGTTACATAAGAAGAAAGCAATCGACAGTCAAATACTGAAAGTCAAAACCCTGTATTTTATGTAAATCTCCCAACCAAAAAACATAATTACAATTGTATCCAACACTTTAGTAAAAGTTTAACCCCTGTCTCTGAATTGCTCCTTTTTTTTTTTACTGTTACTCCATACATTTCAAAATATAGGTCGTATTAGATTTAGAGAAATATTTCAAAATGTAGGTGGTTTTAGGATTTCAAGGCAAGTTAAAGATTAACTTCTCAACTTTGTCTTCAATAAATGATCCTAACCACTTTTTATCTAGTTTTAGTTGTAGTTTAAAACAATTAATGAAGGGTAAAATAAATATTTAATATATAAATTAATCATTAAATGTATTGTATTCTTAATTTACGTGTAGAGGCTAAAAAGATTTACATTTTGAAATGGAAGGAGTAGCTTTTAATCGAAGCATAGAACCACGCTTTCACTAGTCAACTCCTTTCATCATCTTCCACCGTATTCTGTTTTTGCTATGTGCAAAAAATTTGGAAGAAAAAGGAAACAAAAGAAAGAAATGACGACACTGAAATTGGACGCTCCCTCATCATCATCATCATCATCATCACCACCGGATTCAGTATCTGCAAGCGTAAATACAGTGGAAGCTTCCAAGTTTGATCACACCCCTAATTATTGGTTTGTCTCCCTCTCTCTTTCTCACTCTTCTTCTGTTTCTATGTTTGTTTTAATGAAACATTATGTTGGTTAGTGATTCTGTTAATCAGAGAAGATGTACTGACTGATTATCTATGTGGGAATCCTTTTGTTTAAGGAATTGGTTTTTGGTTTATTTCAGAATGGGTTTTCATCATTTGAGTAGAAAAATGCATAACTATCAATTTGCACTTTCTTGAACAATAATCGTGGTTGGAGGATGTCTAGAGCTTCGTAGAGGTTGGCTGTTTTACATTTTTAGGGATTCTTATTTCATATCATCTGATGTGGTAAACTTGTATTGCATATTAGCTGCCAGAGGTGGTCTTTTTATTTCATTGAATGCCGTGATGGTGAATTAGTAGTTATACAATCAGCTGAACGAGTCAACTTGTGAATGGGACTCATTCCTTTCCTTTGGTCTGGTTCACTATAATATGCTTATCAATTTCTCGAAATGCTTGTTTCGAAACATTCTTCTGAACATACATTTGATATTTGAAACAAATGCCTTACAATGTTTTTCATTTTCCTTGTGTTTGTCTCATGCATTTTGATTCATTTTTCATATAATTCATAATATGTGTGTGTGTGTGTGTGTGTTTCTTTCAATATCTCTCATTTTCCACTTACATGGTTTTCAAAGAGAATAATAAATAGGGTAGCTTTCAGGGTTTTACAGTCTTCAAACGAAGATTAATTTAGCATTTTACTTTTGAGTTCTCTATTTTGAGTATCTTTTATATGGATTTTGTTTATTCATGTCGTGGTAATAATTTTCTCTGCTGCATACTTTTCTAGTGAGGAGAATGTATACTTTCTATGCAAGAAGTTATGCTCAGAAGGGCTTGCTGATTCTGACGGTTCAGATTTGTTCGCTGTTTTTATTTCCAATGAGAAAAAGCAGGCAAGTGTTTTTGAGTAAAGTCACAGTTTATATTTTCTTCCTGGTTTTTAAACAAACCTCGCGTAACTTGTTTTGTAAGTCTTTGGATATCATGTGGTGACTGGTTATTCTGTGACTATGGAGGTGTGAAGAATTACTTCAATTGATTTCTATACTGATATTTTGCAACTTCTTTATGATATTTTGACAGCAAAGAAAGTAGAGAACGTTCCCCATAATTCTCAGAATACATAAAAGTAGAATCACTCTGTGTCTTTAATAGATAATTATCCTTCAATAATCACGTTATCATGCAGAATGCTCTCCATGAAGTAAGAACCAAAAATGCTTATGTTGTTAGCATTCACGAGCAACCTAAATTCTAATTCTTCCAGTTGATATCATGGAGTTACTGATTGAAAATGGAACATGATGAAAACTGACCCCCTGCTGTTTCTCTTCATTGCGGACATTCTAACCTCTAGTCTTTCCCCCTTACCAGGGTCCCCTCTCTGCTCTGTCGATGCCCTGGGGACGTCTTTGGTGTGCCGCTATTTTTCTACAGTGATCCGACCATAGACAATTCTGTTCGTCTTTTGAGTTGGGCCAACTATTCAGTACATAGGTTTTAGGAGTTTTTTGGCTCATATTTGGTCTCCCAATATATTTTAGCTTGCTTGATTCTGGGGTCCTCACTTCCAGATTCTGCTTCATCTTTCTGCATTGCGTTACATTAGCTTCCTCTTGTTATACTCAGCACGCGTTTTCCTTGCAGAAGGTCATTGCCAGCCGATTGGGATTCTGCCTTAGAAGTTAAAATTCATCCAGGTTGCCATATAGGCCTGTAGGAATTCAAAGCTTTGTTTCTTCAGCTTTTTCCTGATAATCTGACATCTTGTTTGCCCCAGTAGCCATAGTTGTGTCTTGATGTCAAACACCTTGGGACAAAGTTTTTCTTTATCCAATTAAACATATCAGACAGCCTCCCAGAGTTCTTTGGGTGGGATGAACATAAAGTTTCTCCACTGCTTGCTCTCATGGAATTGATCGACCATGATGTACCCATTTTGCCTTTCCAGTCCATTCACAAATTTGCCTAGAGCCCACTCTGTAATTCTGCTGTCTTAGTTACTCTGCAATAAGTTTGATGTGAGTGAGAGGATCGAACCTTGCTGAAGAGATAGCAGGAATAAATTCATAGGGACATTGATGAGTCTGCAAAATCATTATTGTCTTTCCCGCTTGACATAGAGATATGATTATTCCCATTTTAAGTTGGGCTAGAATATGCCATTTTTACCAAAAACTGTACAGTACAACCTCCTATTAAAATGCACCGGGTATCAAATGATGAAAGGAACTTAACACTGTCTGAATTAGCCTTCTACAATCGCCTGATTCTCTTCTTGTCTCTAATTTAATAGTTTTCCCTTAATAATCCCATTACAAAAGGGGTTCCTGCATGATCACTATGGAAGAATGTTCGCAAATGATGTGATTCATGCACTTCCCTTGAATCATTTCTTTTATGAGCTTATGCTAAAGAATTTTAGTTGCGAAGGGATCTAATCATATAGCTTGGAGATAACTTATTCAAGTCTGAGCAAGCCTATTTTTAAAACAGATACCTGTGGATTGCAGAATTTCTGGCGTTGTCATTGCTATTCCATGTGATGGATTAATCTCTGAATTGTGCTAACGTAGAAATGGTACCTAACATGATCTAATCTCATTAGTGGTCTGACATATTTGCTGGGAAAGTCTAAGGTTGGACTGATTCACCTGCTGACTTTTTCAGATACCTCTATGGAATCAAAAGGCAAGCAAAAGAGCAGATGGAATTGTACTTTGGGATTATCATGTTATCTGCATTCAGGTGAATCCTTCTCAGTGACTATAGTGCTTGTCCCACATGTGGTTGGATTTCAGTTGTCATGGTGTCAGGTGTACTTTAGTCCTGCGAAAAAGAAAATTTTTGGACATGGCATAGACAAGTGTTCTTAATTTGGTCAAAATATCGTCATTGTGTAGCATCAATCTAGAACTGAGGTTTTAAAATATGTTGCCTATCTCAGAAACAAAAAGATGCAAACTCGTCTCCTAAAGTGTGGGATCTAGATTCAACTCTTCCATTTCCTTCTCCTTTGGCCTCCTATTTGAGGGAAACTATCCGTCCATCTTTCAAATTGTTCTCAGAGTTTGACAGGTATGAACTCCAACCTTACCTTCAGTTTATTAGTGCGATCCACGTTGCAGTGAATAGGAATATTGATTTAAAGGTTTGTTAATATTCATCATTATAAGTTGTTATTTGTATCACTGTCATATCTGCTGCAAAAGGCCTGTGTTCTCTGGTACTTGTAGGAGTTTCTGAGGCATAGTCACAGGTGCATGCATGATCTCAAAATTCTTGCTTTGTCTTATTTTATTTTATTTTTTCTTTCGTTTCATTTTATGCAGTTAAAGAAATATGTGAGGTACTGCAATTTAAATAGAAATAACTTAATGATAATTGACCTTTGTACTTTCATCCTCTCACCACCCACAAGCCTGAAGGATAGTGAACAGCCTGAGTGAATACCCTCCCTTTCATTTTATGTCCAAGTTTCAGGCCTAAAATTTGTTCTGAAAGTTATAATCTCGATGACTATGCAGGTTTTTCCGCATTGTACATGTACCAATATTCCTGCGGTGTTTTGCTTCTGATCGAAGGCACATGAAAGATTCTGCTGGAAACTGGACATCTCAGCCACCTTCTTGTCAACCCATTGTAGCGGAAGGTAGAGTGAACCAAATCATTTGTTGTTATAATACATAAATTTAATCAATGCTGGGAGAAGTAGAAGACCAATGTACCCACATCACATGTTCTTTTTGGTTATGCAGATGGAACTGTTCATAACCTAAACGAGTACATGGAGATTTCTGCGGCTGAAGCTTTGCGAAATGTTGAAGCTGGAACAGTCGATGCTGTTTTTTCAGAGAAGTTTGGTGTAGTAGTAAGTGAAAGTCAACTCGAAGAGTTCTTTTCACTGATACCTTAGCTGTCTATGCTGAAGTTAGGGGTATGTTCAATGTGTAACGTGTTTTTTTGTTGTATTCAACTCGAGTGAGGTAAGTACATATGAAAATATACACTAACAAAACTTGAGATGGATATAACTGAAGAGTTTTGGTCATGGAGTAAGTATTTTGGCTGCCAGAGTTGGTAGGCGAGTAATGATTTTTATATACATGCGAGGCAGGTTGGGATTTGATTTGGCCTGTAACGTTTGTAAAGCTATGAGTTTGTATGAACTTGCCGATTCACTGCACGTATGAACATGTTTGTTCTGGAAATTTGAAAAAAAAAAAGCACTATTGTTTTAGTTTCAGTTTTTGCTTTGAAGGTGTGAAAATTACAGTCTCATAAGGATGTAGAGATGTATCTTATAACTGTTAAAGGTAGTTTAAAAAAAATATTGTGAAAAGTTGAAACGCGAAACCAAAGGTAAACCAAAGTTATCTCAACATATGGTTGATGTGAAGATCGCAAAAGCCATCATCAATAAAGCCACTTTTTCATTAAATCCATTTAAGTCGGCATCGTAGCTAGGAGGGTTTATTGTTCAAAAGCTTAATTTTGTGGGATTTACTTATGATATATGGCAATGAGTTTAGAGGGAAAGGTTTAGATTCATAAGAAGCATTCACTCAAGAAGATGAGTTGATGGATCTTCTTCTCTATGAGAAACCTCACCCCATTTGCTACGATAGTATTATTATAGTTTAATATTATTTATGAGATAGAGAGATTATATAAAAGACTAAACCGCATAAAACGTCCCGTACATTTGGTCGAACAATCATTTTCATCTCGTGTATTTAAAAATGCTTATTTACGTCTCATTTCGTCAAAAAAGAACCATTTTTCGACTATTTACGTCCCAAACGTAACTTTCCGTCCATTTGACCGTGAAAATGGAGGGTATTGTTGCCTTTTCGCTCCTCTTCTGGTTTTCAAGTATTTAAGGAATAAAATAATAATTAAATAATAATAAAATATTTATAAAATATTTATAAATTTCAAAAAATCAAAAATAAAATATTAAAAATAAAAAATAATTAAATGAATTTTTTTATCATTTATCACTGTGAACAGTAAAAATTTTTATAAAATATAAAAATTTTCAAAATTCGAAAAAGAAAGTAAATTGGCTCCATTTACCTTCTAACCCAAGATGCTACAGTAAACCCTAAAAGTAAAATAATTTTTTTTCCTTTACAAAAAAGGGGAACGCCCCTTTCTCTTCTACCATCACCCTCTCTTTCTTCCACCATTAACACTTCTTCTCTTCCTACAAACCAACTAAGATCTAGCCATGGCCGCCTCCAACAGTAGCAACAACGGTAATAATTCGTTTAATTATCGGTTCGATAAACATATCTGCAATGAATGTAGGTCGACATGCACAATTAAGGTATCAAGTAGCAGAAATATCACGATTTTGTAACCTGGGTCGTTCCGATCGGAGATGCTGGGTACGAGTCAAATGATTTAAGAAGAAGGCACATTGGGCGGGGGGATACAAATTATGAAATTGTTAATGATGGTAATCGCGATGTGGCAAGTGAGGGATGCAATCCCATTTGCAAGTATAACTGCAAGTGGGCATATAAAATTCTTGTATTTCTTCATGTTAGCTATTTGTTATGTATTCTAGTCCTTCTTCTGGTTTTAGCAAGTAAGTGATAGTGTATTTTGAGTGCATTTTACTTCTCCATGTCAATCATAATGTATCGTAGTGGAATGTCGATCTGTGAGGGAACTTTGATTTGTGGTTGGTTGTACCAAGTTTGGAACTGAATGAGTGTGCAACTATTTTCGTCCCCTACTTTCTATTGAAACATTTTTCATCCCTTACATTTGTGTGGAAACTTTTTTTGTCCCACGTTACGTGGTCAAACACCAAATACTATTTAGTCAATACAAACCCTATAAAATAAGGTCCCACTCTTGTTGGGTAACATAAAATAGTAAAGTAAGGTCAATAAGTAGTGCATTCATCTGTCAAAAAGAAACCAGAAAAAAACACATAAGGGTTGCTGCAATGGCTCTCACAAATCTGCCTTTTGGTCCACATCCAAAAGACCAGAATGATGACTTCCTTCCTGTATACTATAAGTATGATTATAATTATACTCGATCTAGAATATGGTTCTGCATTAATAGTATTTTTTTATGTTATTTAATCAGTTAGCAGTAGCAGTTTTGGGAGCATTCAAATGTACTATGGTGGGTGTCTGTATGAAAAGCCCTATCTAGTTTATCATGGTGGTGAATTTATGATGTTCGATAATGTGGATCTGGAAACCATTTCCATTCTTCAATTAAATGAGATGGCACGGAGGATTGGGCTTGTCAGATCTGTTTCATTCTACTCTATTACTGAGGTTAATGGAGTGGAGAAGATAGTGGAAGACCGGGCATTTTTCCTCATGTGTGTTGACGCTTTGGATGGCAATAGATTAGTTGTGGTTTATGCACTCGACAAAGATGAAGAACGATGTTTTGGTAGAAATGATTCATTCACGCATGGTGACCCTGATGATAGTGATGATGAAGATGACTTCCATGGAGTTTTGGAAGACTGTGAGTGCGAATCTTCAGAGTCTGAATGTTATTGTGAGATTCCTAACCCACATCAATTGATTAGTGCCTTAGCCTATGCATGGGTTTGCAAGGAAGCCAAGGATTGATTTCTTGTGTACTTCAAATCCTCTTTAATAATGGCTTCAAAGTTGTAATCCTTTATCTTTTGTTGTATTTGTGTAAAATTTTGTATTTCGCTACAAATCTGAACAAAACGGTTCAACAAAATCGAGTATTTCTACTTTTTTTTGCAATTTAGCGTACGAAGAATCCCGACTTGCATTATTTATAGCACCAAAAATAGTTAAGGATTTAGATATATAGGACAACAATAGTTAAGGATTTTGATATTTAGGATAAAATTAGTCAAAGATTTAGATACATAGGACCAAAATAGTTGAAGGTCTTGATGTACAGGACATAAATAGTACAGGATTTAGACACATAGGACCAAAATAGTTGAAGGTCTTGATGTACATGACATAAATAGTACAGGATTTTGAGGTTTAGAACCAAAATAGTTGTAATCCATACTTTAAACCAAAAACTAAACAATCCAAGCTAAACAATCCATACTTTAAACCAAAAACTAAACAATCTAAGCTAAACAATCCATACTTTAAACCAAAAGCTAAACAATCCAAGCTTAACAATCCATACTTGTAGGTCCAGCTTAACAATCCAAGCTTAACTATCCAGCCAAACTACCAAAAGCTTAACAATCCATCAGCTTTAAACCAAAAGCTTAACAATCCAAGATTAACTATCCAACCAAACTACCAAAATACATCAATATGAAAAACAAAAGCCTAATACAACAATGCCCTAATTTGCTTTGGGTGGGATTGTTGCATCTTCCGAATCCTGATTACCAGCTGCATCTTCTGTGGGTGGCATATTTTCATTTGGTTCTTCTCTATACATATCAGCAACGGTGCTTGTACATGTTGTCCGATAATGTCCAGTTTGCTTACACAATTGACATTAAATAGTCCTTTTTGCCTAGAAATTTAACATCATCAATTTAGAGAGAAAAGAAAAAAGATAAAGTAAATGAACAACATCTTGTACATGTTGAAAAACAATGTACCTTCTTTTTAGGCTGGCCCTTGGTATTGGGTTTCTTCTTCCTCTTCTTAGACTGCTCAGATGGAACAGCTCCACCAGTACACTGTCTCTTGTTATGTCCTTCAAGGCCGCATTCTGAACACTTGTAGGTCATTGTGCCAGTCCGAGACAGAACCTCAATATCACCTTTTTTCTTTACACGCATTTCCCTCAACTCTTCCTTAGTCTTCTTTCTAGACTTCGGAGGTCGTCCAGCTAGAACAATTTTATCAGGAGGCATAATATCTGGTTTTTTCGTCTTTTTCCACATTTCTTCACCATTTATGTGATAAATGACGTACTTGTAAGCAGTTTCATAAGCTGCCTTCGAGTAATAATTGTGCACATACGCTTTAACGGGCTCCTTAGTATGACCGATTGTTGCAATTGCGTGATGGCAAGGTATGCCTGTCAACATCCACTTTCTGCACGAGCAAGTTCTAGCCCTTAGATCCACTGTGAACTGTTCACCACTCTTAGTACTTACTTGATAATTCCATTCTCCAGCATCCACTGCCCAACACTCACTTGTTCTTTCCTTTAATTTTTCCAGCTTCTTCCTTATTTTTGGGCCAACAACATCAACCAGTTTAGCAGCAGCTTCCCTCTTCTGACGGTGTCTCTCCATAAGATACAAAAAGATCCATTTTAGCAAGGCCAGTAAGGCCTTTTCCCTAGCAGGAAACAATACCTTGTTTATGCACTCGGAGATATTGTTCACCAAAACGTCACACTTCGCATGATACTTGAAATGTGACCTTGTCCAATTCTTAGGGTTTGTGTTGCTCCTCAACCAATCGATAGCCTGGGGCTTTAGAACTCTCAATTGCTCGATGATGGTCTTGTACCTTGCAGGATAAGTTGCTCTAGCTGCAGCCCACAACAAGTCTTTCAACGTTGGGCTTCCAAATGCCGTTTTGAAATTGTTGTGCATATGCCACACACACATTCTGTGCTCAACACCGAGAAGACATGTTTTTACTACCTTAATCAATCCCTACAACAAAGCAAATGATTAGTAAACCTAAAACCCTTTAGAAACAGTACATTAGCAAATGCATACAAACAATACACAGGTCCTAAACCTAAAACCCTTTAAAAACAGTACATTAGCAAATGCTTACAAACAATACACAGGTCCTAAACCTAAAACCCTTTAAAAAGTAATTGAAAAAACACACCTTTTGCTTGTCACTAATAATCGTCCATTTGCTTGGATCTTTGATGTCCAAATCAATTTGGAGGTTCGTGCATATGCAATAGGGTATGTCTGGTCATTCGGGTCAATGCCAATTACAGTCAGTAAAATGCCCTTGGTAGGTCCCTTCAAGTGGCATCCATCAAGTCTAACGATTGACCTACAGGCTTCTTTGTAACCCCTTTTAGACGCGTCCAAGCATATATAAATGCCTTTGAATTTTTCAGTACCATCTGGTAGATCTTCCGTATCCAAATCAATTGTAGAGCCTGGGTTTGTTCTCAGCAACTCAGCTTTATAATCGTAAAGTCGTTTGTACTGACTTACAATATTACCTTCAATCATTTCAATGGCTAAATTCTTCACTCTTCTGCCTTGCTCCTGTGAACATACATAGTCATCTTCGTATTAAGTTTCTCCTGCAGTTGAGTCACCGTTGTCTGGGGACATATACGAATATCCTCCATGAACATCCTTGCAAGATACTTTGAACTAGCACACCCATGGTTGTGATCCCTACCACCACAAATGTGTTTCTTGTTAAGGCGGGAAACATTCCAGTAACACTTTTTCGGCCTGTTACGAATAATGACATGCCAGTTGCAGTTACGTTCAGCACCTCTACACACTGCGTGGCACCTAACTTTATCATCCTTCTTGAAACGTATCTGTTTCCCCAGCTTCACACCTTGATGCTTGCACAAATCTTTGAACTCTTCCTTCGTAGAAAACCTCAACCCAATTTCCCACCTTGGGTTATCATAATCTGTATTTTTGTTGTACCTTCTAAACATTGGTCTTCGTGTTCCAACAGATTCACACTCAGTTTCTTCACCATTGAGAAGTTCTTCGAACCCACCAGAACTCTCGACCTCTTCATCATATGTAACAAATTCAGGTTGTAGTTTGAACTCAGGTTCCTTTAAAATCTCATCCCAAACTTTTTTCCTCTCTTTACCGATAATTTCTTCCTCTTTTGTATCCAGGTCATAGTCATCGTCATTGAATTCAGCATTTCCATTTGGCTCTACCGCTTTTGCCCTGATCTTCTCCAGCATTTCAGCAAGGGTATCATCATCAAAATTATACTCTGTACATGTTCTGACCACTTTCTTCTTCTTCTTCTTTTTCTTCCCTTTTCCCTTTCCTCCTTCACTATTGCAGTCTTTTACTGAACCAGTTGTTGTCTGCACTGCTTCTTCAGAACCACTGGTGTTGCGTTGTTTTTTTGAACAAGTGTTGACCTCAGCAGCTGCTTCAAGTTGGTCACTGTTGCAGTCTTTATCTGAACCAGTTGCTGTCTGCACTGCTTCTTCAGAACTACTGGTGTTGTGTTGTTTTTTTGAACAAGTGTTTACCTCAGCTGCTGCTTCAAGTTGGTCACTGTTGCACTCTTTATCTGAACCAGTTGCTGTCTGCACTGCTTCTTCAGAACCACTGGTGTTGCGTTGTTTTATTGAACAAGTGTTGACCTTAGTTGATGCTTCAAGTTGGTAACTGTTGCACTCTTTATCTGAACCAGGTTTTGCCTGCTCTGCTGCTGTTGCATCACCTTCACTGTTGTATGTTTTTTCATAAACAATGTTCACCTCAACTGTTTTTTCATCACCAGCACACTTGGACTCTCTGTCTGATCCAATTTCTTCATCGTCTCCTTCTTTATCACAACCAGCACCCACACCATTATTTTCCTTATCTGTTCTCCTCAGAATTTGTACATCTGGTCCTTCATCGCAATCTAAACTCTCCAGAATCTGTACATCAGGACCAGAACAAATATTGTTCTTCTTTTTTGCACTCAGTTTCTTGTTTTTCTTCGTCTTAACAGTAGCCATCTTTTGTCTTGGTTTTGGCCATGGACCATTTAGAAGCTTATTTACCATACGTAGGGTGAGAACTTCCCGCGTAAGCTAACTATCAACCGGGTCATCTTCATCATCAGAAAGTTCACTGTCTTCATTTGGGTGCACCACAAACAGATCAACAAAACAATGCTCTAATCCAATTGCAGCCATGGTATTTGCAGAATCATTGGAAGACAGCAGCCCCAATCCTTCGTCCATGTCCTTTCCATGTTCCAGGAAATAATAACTTAGGTCACCAGGAATTTTCATATCCTCATGAAGAAATGCATCCACTTCTATTTTTGACCAGTAATCTGCATTGCATTTTCGCATGGCGGTGACATATCCACCTCTGTACAATCTTCCAGGTGACTTGGTTAGAAATCCATTATAATGGACCCGCACAGTGAAGAACCATCTGCACAAAATCCACACAAATGTCAGCAACTATTTTGGTCCAATACTTTTTAGCAGCAACTATTTTTGTCCTATACATTTTTGCAGCAACTATTATGGTCCTATACAAATTCAGTAGAAACTATTTTAGTTTAATGATTGAAGCCATTCAGTAGAAACAAATTCAGCAACTAGTTTTATTTAATTATTGAATCCATTTTGACACTGCACTTTCATCAATGCACGAATAAGACAAATTAACAGTACACATCAACTTAAATGCACAAGTTCAAAGACAGAAAAAAAAAAGTGTATTCACAATCCATTGACTTGCTGTAATTTAAAAATCAATTTCCCTTCTCCCACAAATAAAAGAACAAAAAAATATTTCAACCTACATCTGCGGCATGAAGTTCGACAACGACTAAAAATTGCATAAGGAAGATGCTTTTGTAAAGAAAACTTTATCACATTCATGTCCCACTAAAATCCCTTCTAAGTTTCACACAAAAGACCCATATAATAAACAGAGCTACCAAAAAGTTCTAACTTTTAATCTATT